TTGCTGTCATGGCTTTCATCTGAAAAGCATAGTCAGGCCCTGTGGTGTGTCACTTCTCTTTATAACAAAGCGGGAGCAAGCCAGACTGGAACGCAGCTCTTCAAATATGCAGGATTAAATATTTTTGCAGGTTTATTGTGGGACCTGTAGGTGGCCTCATTTTAATAGTCAATAAACCAAGAACTATTAATTCACTTTGCCAACGAGCTAAGCAACATTTTGTCTTATTCTACTGAATTTGGAAGCTGATGAATTTGCTTCTAGTGCCACTGAATACTCTGCCGTTTGTTCTGTAAGTAAGAGCACACTGATTTTAATTCTGGAAGTGCGAACACCTGTTTTGTTTTCATCCTTAAATTCCTTCAAGGATGGGAAGAGAGAGGGCACAACTTTGAAACTCTGAGTTAGGACCAGTAAAGCAGCCTGGATCATGTATTTCACATCCCCTCCCAGAGCACAGGTAAAGAAGCAGAGGACTGCTGGCCATGCACTGACGTTAACCACAGACATTTTGTAGCATACTGAACAATAAGAAAAATTAATATACATCACGTATTCTGTTAGAGAAGTCCTAACCTCATGGCTTACCAAATTCAGTTGGGTAAATGGACTGCAAAACAAGGCTAAGTGATTTAAGACTGAGAGCCTTCAGTACAATCAATAGAGTACCAACATTCACATCCACACTTGGCATCATGTTTGTGACAACGCGTTCTTCAGTGTCACTCCAACAGAAACACTGACTTATGATGTTGTCTTATTTAACTGAGCCATTTTTGGGGTGCGGATGAAGAGGAAATAAAATAGAGCTTAGCTAGTGCTTCAGAAAGCACCACTTTTGTCAGCTGTTGAAAGGGCAATAAGGTCTCATACCTCATGCTAGTATATTGGGCTGGTCCTATCCCGTGGGTCATTATTATCACTATCTTGTGTTGGGCCACTGGAGGCAGGCTGTGCACTTCACTTTTATCTTGCCTTTTATCCTGAAAGATGACAGAGCCTTCAGACACCACTTACCTGTGAGTACAAATAAGAGGCCAATGCATTACTTCACAACAAGCTCCTTCTCCTTTCTTGGAGCAATGCCTCTGCTGCACAAATCCAGATGTCAGCCTACCCCTGTCCATGTGGGGAATACATGCCATAGCCACTGTGGTAAGGCCCCAGTTTTAACCAGTTCATGTACACACACTGTATTTTTTTTAGTGTATGAGAGCTGATACAGCTTGTGGAAAAGGCTTATGGTTAAGTTGCCTTTAATACATGGAAGCCATATAGCTACAACGGTAAGAGAATCACAAAGCATTTCATTAACTGGCCTCATGTCGCTGATCCTGCCGCCACTGCTTCTCCCACCCTGCGACCAGGGCACCCCGGGGAACAGCAGGAGTAGCAGGGAGAGCATCTCTTACTAGAAATTTCCCTGGCTTTGAAGTGGTCGGGTGTACATGTGTCTTAGACACAACTTCATGCTATGCACTGCAAAACACAGCCTGCCTTGAGCTGGACTGGAGCGCAGAGCCGTCCCTCATGTCTGCTGCCAGGCCAGCAGCAGCAAGAGGACCGCACACCTCGAAGAGCGGCCTTAGCACAGCACCTCTGGGTGCTGATGGACTGGCCGGGTTATGCTGGGAGTGCAGAGCAAAGCCACCGCGAGGCGTCCAGCTGCATCTCATTTTAGTGGGTATCAGTTAATCCCTCATTTCAGAAATATCAAACTATTACAGTTCTGAGAGGGAACTACAGTGGACAGATGGGAGGCAAAGGGCTACAGGGGATCAATTTTTGGACTAACAGGGATTATACTAAACTTGTAAAACAAGTCTTCAGTGTGTCACCTCTCCTAGGACACTCTCCTAGAACAGCCTGCAACTTCTTCCCCTCTGTCACACCTATCTTTTAAAACCCACTTTGGAACTGATCTACTGAGCGGCATTAACCTGCTGCCCACGGGGCATTCCAAACCTGCATCTTTGGAGATGGAACCTTGACAGAAACCAACTTTCTAGCCAAATTCCTCCACTGCAGACTGAGCCTGGGCACCGTGGGGCTCCTACTGCATGCCTGTGACTCACCACAACCCACACCACATCTTTTGGAAGTGGCCAAAACTTTTGCTAAGTAAAATTTGAACCTTTCTCTAAACATTTCCCCTCTCTATTGGGCCTGGATGCTTGCAATATTCTCTCAAAAGCAGGTAAGTGCAAGGACACCTGGTCCCCTGCAGGGCTGCGCCCCTGCCAGAAACCTGCTGGAGATAAAGTTCTGGATATATAATATTCACAGTAAGTTAAGGGAAAGCGAAGTAAAAGCAGTTCCCTAAGACATGCTGCAGCCAGGGGCGCAAAAACCTGACATAAAACCAGATAAATAAGGAAGGAGAACAGAATTATTTATAAAGAAATTTATTTTATATTTGTGTACAACAAATATATGAAAACAAGTTTAATTTGAAAAATGTATATTCAATTTCTTAAAAGTATTGAACCCTCTTAAGGAAAGGTTTTAGTTATTAAAAAGGTACTGAAGGCTAAAATTATACTTGGATAATATGTGTGTGTACGTATATATATATAAAAAACATGTGCAATTTTATATATATATAGAGAGAGTATATATAAATAACATGTGTGACATGATATTTTAAGGTATGCTATTTAAACATTGGAGTAACAATAGAGATATTATAAAATATAGTTTGCTATTTCTACACAGTTTGCATTCAGTTTTTATAAGCATCTAGACAGTGCAAAATTTAAACATACAGAAATATTCTCCTATTATTCTATACATTGTGCTCAGCTCCCAAGCTTCCTCTGTCATGATTGTAACCAGACTGAACCAAATTTGGAGGGTTCAATACTAGCCCTTACTAGCATCTTCTAACAGCAATAAAAGAAAATCTGTCTTACCTTGCACTGCACTGTGGTATAGTTTGCGCACAAGAGAGAACAATGCATTTCCTATGTTAAATGGTCTAACTCCCAGAGATCACATACACCTCACCATATTGACTCATTTCATTGCACTCCATATCCTGCAAAAATAAATCTCCTGTAGGACAGCATACATTACTGCGTACTGAAGTTTAAGTAATATATTTCTTTAACGTAAGACAGGAATATACTGAAATTTGATAACACTTAAATCCAACAGCAATCTGGAATTAAACCACATTTATGTACCACATTTTTATAGATGCTGCCTTTTTTACGTTTATGTCAGAAAATGTGGTAGAGAAAACCTACTTTTCTTTAAAGAAAAGCAAGGGATAAAAGCAATCCTTCTAGAAGAAATTGCTTAAAACCAATGGGACCAGGAGAAACTCGACCGCCTTGAAACACCAAAGGTCAGTCTGCACAACCTTTCCTGCAGCCGATGAGCAATTCCTTGTATGACATCTGGGGGAATGCTCATGTGAATAGGTGCTTGCTACAGCACAGCCTGAGTGTTTTAGCTCTAAATATTTATCATCCTTATTTGCATCTATTCAATATTAAGGTATTGTATGCTTTTTTCATGTCTTTCTATGTTGCCAAAAAAAGGCAATTCTGACCATTCCATATGCTTTTACAGTAGCTGTATTTTAATTGAAGGATGTTTGTACTTTAGATAATATGTTTATTATCACTGACATAAAAACCTCAATCCTGCTTCCATAAAAACCAGTGGTTGCTTTGCTCTTACTAGAAATAAAATTGAATCCAAATATGTTAGTCACAAAGTTTGCTAATAAAAGTAAATACTATATTCATTAAGTCTCTCAACGCTTAAAGGCAAAGTGGTGTTAGCAAATACTGTATAGGATAGGTTAAAGAACAGTATTATGCACAATTCTAGACAGACTGTTATTCAACAAAATCTAAAAGCAGCTGTGAAGACCATCTTATGGGACAGCAAATTTTGCTACATGAAAATTTCTGGAGCTGTGACAGCCTTTTTTCAAATTCATTTCTTAAACCAACCCCCTCACTTATGTCCTACACTGCAATTGCACAAATTAAAGGTTGTGGCCTTGTAGGCAGTATGCATCCAGACCAGCTAATCTTTAAAATTGGATACTTCAGGAGGGTCTCCCTCTTTCTGCCGCATTCATTCCTAAACTCCCTTTTAGCAGAAACTGTCGTGTTTCTGAATCTTTGTAGCAACCGACAAGATAAAGAGCCTAGTGTCATTCCTCATCTACTTCACTTCTCAAGTTTATCTCTGCACTTGTCCATATAATTACCCCCTGCAGATTTCAATGTTAATTCAGATTTGAGTTACAGTTGCTGAAAAGGCCTCACAAAAAGACAAAGCCTCATTAGTAGCCCGCAAAAGTGAGCCTTACTAGTTAAAACCTTGATTTAAATACTAAACAAAGGAGGAAAACAGATGCTGAGACAATGTTTACATCCTTTCAACCACACCCCTGAAATTTTGGCAGTAAATTAGCCAAAGGATGGGCTTTACATCTCATCTATCTCTCCGCTGGGAAGGAACAGCCATAACTACAAGTTTTTGCAGGGTGCGGCTGATGCTGGGAGATGGCTGAATACATATGACCAAAGGCTGCATGCCTCGCAAGTCAGAACAAAGTAGAGATTTGCCAGGAATTCAGGATTTTCTTATGCCCAGAAGTTTCCTATAGGCTGGAGATAAACACAAGTCCCATCTCCCACACAAAAAGGAAGTGTTCAAACCTAGAGTAACACAGCACTAAGAAGAAACTAATACCTAATAATGCCAAAGCCTCTCGATTTAAGGATTCCCCAAAGCATTCTCAAAGAAAAGAAAGGAAAAGGAAACCTGTGGAGTCAGTCAACACATTTTTCAATCCAACTATATAGTAAACGCACGGGCAGGCAAGGCCTCAGTTCCGAAAAGGTGAGGAAGAAGGATGGTGCAAAACGCTTCCATACATTTAAGCATTCTTAGGATATAAGAGAGCAGGCAATTTAGAAAACATTCCTTGTAAGCTGTGTGGGATCAGCGCAGTTTTCTACAGGCTTTGCTTCGTCCTACAGCTCAGCTTTGCCTGTTTGGGCAGGACTGGTGTTACCGCTGCCTTCTCCGGCGTTGTTCTTGTCTGCTGGCTTGAAAGATAACGAAGCAGAGTTTGTGCAGTACCGTTTGCCAGTTGGGCGAGGTCCATCGTCAAAAATATGCCCCAGGTGAGCACCACACTGAAACAAAATACAACAGAGTATCACTGTGTCTCTGTGCAGCTTGATGGCATCACCGTGGTGTTAAGCAATGACTAGCAGCTGCTTCCAAGGAAGCACATTGGTGCCTACAACGCCCTTTCAAGTGGTATTTACAACCTACATTTATTTGCAAGAGTGATCCACGAAGATGATCTTCTGAGATACCGCGGGCGCCTAAGACTTCAAGCCCAAATTTCCTGGGTGTTTCCCATTGTGCCACTGCGTATGTTTGGTTGGGCCACTATTTCTCAGAAGCCGCCTGTTCTCTGTAATGATCTCAGGGCAGGAGCTCAGTTAAAAACATGGTGGTGAGGGCAGCACTGCCCACGTTTCACTTACTGCTGTAAGGATAGCTGTGTAAGGAAAGGGCAGCCTGAGGTCTGGGCTCTCCTCATCTGCTTCGCCCCTCAGTAAGAAAACACTAAACCCGTTGATGATCCCGGCAAAGACCTAAAGCAGTGAAGATATTCTTTGGAGCATGCCCTCATACTCATTTTTTTTCTTTCCACAGCCTGGCACTCTTCTGAGCATCAGTGTCCTTTTGGGTCCACCTCTGCTCCTTGCCCTTGGAGGGGATGGAGCTCACCCACTACTCATCTCATACTACTTTCTGTAGTATATAGGAGACAGGGACAGGTGACTGAAAAAGACCTGTAGTGAAGATACGTAAAATATTTCTGAATGAATAATCTTTAGCTGGGAGCAATCATAAATAGGAATGATGCTGAATTTGCTTTTTGTAAGGAATATGAAACTACAGATGGTCTATTGACACTTTTGCTCTGTATGAATGAGCCTCAGATACTCGCAGTGGTATTCAGGGTGAACACTACTGCTCCTGTCTGCAAGAAAGGTAACAGTCCCTTGCTTTACAGAAGAGTACAATATTTTGAAAAGCTGATCCAGTTGGTCCTTATTCAAAAATTAGGATTACTATCACTGCACATTATGGCTGACAACTTATCCGGATAATAAGAACTTCTTGTAATTAGTCACTTAAATTCCACAAGTTCATTTTTGTGAACTGCCATGAGAAATAAAAAAAAAAACCCTTGCACTGGAGAAACATTTATCTTGAACAGGAAAGTCATGCTGCTTTACCAAACAGCCTTGGCCTTTCCAGTCAATAGCTGATCTCAGTGAGAGCCGGAATGATGTAACTGAGATCACAGAGCTGCTTGTGGGCTCACAGTCAGACGCAAAAATTAAAGACTGCAAATTATTCTCAACATTTAATCAATTCATAGTATCCCAAATACATAGAGGCAATACTGATTATTCCGAACTGTGAACGAGTTAGCGATGGCAAATCTCTACCCTGCAGTTAATGTGTTGCTAATGTTCTCCTGCTGTTATGGTCTTTAATTCACCAAAGCAGTAGGCAGGGTGTCTGTAGAAGCAGGTAGTGTCTTGGCTTCAGGTTAAACTCTCTCAACAGACTGAAAGGCTGGGGGAGGCTCTCATACCAGCTAGGAGGGACAGAAACTCTTCTCGTTTAATGACAGCTGAAACAATAATCCTCACTGACTCTGGGAGCAGGGCAGGTAGGCATGTGAAGCCTCAGCGCTCCTGCCTGTCGGTCCCACCCGCGCAGCCACATCCCAGGGCGGGCTCCCTGCTCCTGGAGAAGTGTCACTGAAACAGCCACGGCAGTCCAGCAAGGACCCCAAAAACAAACGAGGGCGCTTCTAGCCCGTGGTATCAGCAGGACGAGCTCCCAGAGGCAATGGGAAAAGACATGGATGACTTTGGGTTAAGCAGCAGCTGCTTGGCTTTGTAACAAAGGAAAACAAAACATGCAAATAAGGAAAAGGCAAAGGTGAGTTGCATGGGAACTAGAGAAGACAAAGTTTCAAGTCTTGTTCCTGAAAGACTGCTGTCTTGCCACCCTTTCTTCCATTCTCCGCTGCTTATTTTATTTAATTTTCCTTTAGATTGAAGGCCTTTTTTTAGGCAGTTTGGGCAGAAAACCTCAGCTGTTTCTCAGAGTGGGGTCTCTCACAACGAAGCATTTCACCTGATTATAAAGCTTTTCCATACCTTGGGAAAAAAAAAATCCAAAAAAACTTAAGTGTCCCAGAGAGAGTATTTTTCTAAATGCTCAGCATCCTAATTAAATCATCTTATCTCAACTAAGAATGCTTCAAAACCTCCTGGCTAGAAGTGTTAAACAGATCTTTTCCAGATTAACATTTAACCAAAGATAAATCATTCCCTCTCCACTGGACAGAAACAGAACAAGAGAAACCGTAGAGAGAAACGGTCTGCAGGAGTAATATACTCACACACAGACTACAAAGACAATCTATCAAAAAGGTTTTCCTCACAAAACCTGAGAAGCTGTGTGAGAGTCCAAGGCAGTCTCATTACACCTTCTTGTGATGGCAGGATCACACCAGGATTGGATTACTGCAAAATTTGTTACCTTTTGAGATTACCCCTCACCAAAAATTTATGTGGCGATTCTCTCTGTAGAGGACTCTATAACTCATCTGCCCTGAAAAGAAACGTAATTCAATCCTTTGTATCACAGTATAAGAAACCTGGCCCTCAGCTGAGAGTACAAAGGATGAATTGATTTTACTGTCCTCCCCACACATAATAGGTGCCGACCATTTTTCTAGGACGTATGTACATGTCTGCAAAGCCTCCCAAAAAGGAACAATCATCTGTTGCGGCCTTGCACATAAATATATTGAGCAGAATGCACTGGGACGGTGAAACGGTTAGAGTAAAGCATTTGAAGTATGTGTTTGGGAGCAGGAAAGGGGGGGTCACTGCTAACTGTCAGTATGCTTGGATCTCCCAAGCCTCCTGGTTCTAATATGCTGATGGGAGGCACGGAAAGCAGCTTGCAGTCAGCTGCTGTAGCCGAGTCTGAGCTATCAATGTGCAAACAGTACTTCCGTGACTACAGAATTTTATTGATTTATACAGGTACAAATAATAGCTAGGGAGACCTGAGGGGAAGGGACTCTCGAGCAGGAAAGAGAAAAAAAAGAGAGATGCAACCCGTTTTACAATATTCCTCAAATGCATTTGTAATTAACTTCTACCTGTCACTAATCATTGACCTTTTAAATATATCCAGGGTGATGTGTTTTCAAAAAACTGTAGAAGTTATTTCTAGGATAATCTCATGGATGTCTTTGATTAATATTACAGCAATTTTCCCCCAATGTTTGCTTTCTATAATGGAGAACATTAAAAGATTTTTTTTATTCTCTCAGACAGGTGGAAGGACTTTTAAAGAAAAATCAACTACTTTTTCATCTGCAAAAGATTAATACAGTTTTGGGTGTGGGAGAGGGTATTTCCCTCCAGTTCTACCAAGGCCTGGCATATCAATCCCACTGCTTTCCAGGCTGCAGTAAAACTGCATTTTTTTGCAGCTGCATGTGTGATTCACATTCCTAGGGCTCTGAGGAGGGGAGGAAATGGTTTTGTTATGGACACACAATGCAGCGGTATTAACTGTGCTGAGCAGTGGCTGCAAAGATGCTCACCACTCCTCAAGCTATCTTCTTGTGTGACTTGATCATCAGTGGGGTTATTGCCCCAGGAAGTTGGAGTAGCTGATACGAAGTTGCCATTGGATTATATAGCAACTTTGGTCGCATTTTTTTCTTAATGCTTTAAATTCAGTTTTTGGTTTTGCTTTAATTTTATGATGTCTGCGTGTGACTGCTACTAATACTGCTGGTCTCAGGTCTGCTAGCGCTATTTTGTTTGGCAACAGGTAAATGACATTCCCAGATTCCTTGGCCTGACCACAGGCTGCCTTGGGCTTCTCTCAGGTGAAACCAGGAGCTCTGGCCATCTCTTGAAGGGTGTTCAGCAGGCTGGCAGTATGCTTATTTTAGCACTATTCAGGCCTACTAAGCAGAGCTGAAGACAGTGGGTTGCATTTTTGATTGTGCCAGTAATCACTGGCAAAGCACAAGATTCCCAGTCTGCAGTCCCATTGCTACCTCACTAGGGAATTTAGGGAAATGGATGTTCCCAAAAAGTGTTAAATGGATCTTCTAAAGCATATAATCAATGTAGAAACTACAGAATTATGTAGTACACATGACATACTAGCAGGCACGCTGATTTGGCCATTAACATGTTGGGCCAAACCCTCTACCCAGAGTGAAGTTAATGGATTGTCTATAAAGACAATCTTGCCTCTTTTTGGAAAGCTTCTTAACTCACCCTGAGCATTTATATACAAGGACTGACTGCCTAGTAAGGATGCATACTGTCAGGGATGAAATCAGTTATCCCTCCATGAATACTGTCTGGAAAGAGAACAGCAAATTCTCACGGCCCAAATGAAGCTGCTGCTTCTCTCAGGAGGAGTTTGAGCATGTGGAGCTAGAGGACTGCAAGCTGCTGCGTACCTCTGCCAAACGCCAATGCAGCAGCTTCTCCCTTTGCTAGGTAATGATGATGCCATTCCCTTCACAGAGAGGAGGGCAGCAGAAAGGATGACAGAAAGTAGAACAAGACAGATAACGGAAAATTTGGGCATGTTTTGAATGACTACTGACTTCATTATTTGAGGCAGCCATTAGGACTGCGCTGGGAATGAGTGTTGGGAATGAGTTAGCACGGCTGCACAGTAATGCACAGTGATGGAATCAGCACACAGACAGTCGCTCCACTGCTTTCAACTTCCCTCTCAACTGCTCACGGGTGGAGTCAGCCGGCCAGGCTCAGGAGCTCCTTTGAAGGGACCCTCTTCAGACGGACAGTTTTTGTAGACTCAGCACCAAGTCCAACCATTTACATCTGCTCTGTTAAATCTCACATGAGACAACAATGTGCATTCCAATGAGCCCTTTGTGCCTTCAGCTCGTTCCACCCAGCTGTTATACCTACGACCCATTGTGCTCTCTCACAATGATTACTATTTAATGGAACTGAAAGGTTTGCAAATCTTAGGGAAAGTACAGCATGCTGTAATGATTTTTGCAGCCTTTGCCATCGGAATGGTCTGTGTGTGCTATAAACTAACCTGACTGCAGGATATTTCAATCCGATGCATCCCGTAGGAGAAATCATCATTGAAAGTAATTGCATCAGGACTGATCACATCATAGAAGGAAGGCCAACCTGGAAAAGAGGAACAAGGTAATTAAGAAAAGAGGGCATCTTGGTGGCAGATGGCATTGTAAGAAGCAAGACAGAATTACACTTTGAAAAAGGTTTATCTCATTCCACAGCCTGGAAATAACTGAAATGGAGACTTTGGATCCTAAATCACTTAGGTACTTTGGAAAATTTCCCCCTAAATACAAAGTTGTTTACAGGCAAGGACTAAGCTGCCACTAGCTGCCCATCTTCCATCTCTACAGAGATTCCTGCACTCCACCACAAGAAGCGGTAGCAGTTTAGCTCAGGCACGAAGGTGGCTGCTTAGGTAAGCCAGATTCAGCCTCACCATCAGTTTAAAAAACCACAAATTCCACCCTGAAGACAAACAGCGAGACTTTATGGAACACAAGTGTGTTTGCTTTTGCAGTGTAAAGGTACTTTAAAAAAGAGTTGGTAAGTTGCAGTTTAGAGCCCCAAAACCTGCCTTAACCTTTGCCTTCACCAAAGCATGGTCACACCCAGAAGGATGTGCTCGGACCCTGACCCATCACACATTAGAGGCAGTGAGATGACTACTATTGTGTCTGATATCAAAACAGTAATGAGCGCTTCAGATCAGCCATGGACAGGTGGAGTCGTAACTATGCCTACATTAGACACTAGTAGATGGTCTGCATGTGGTCTGTAGCCAAGACAAAACAATTGCACTCATTAACATGTATGTCCCCCTCTCCACAACACAGGTGAAAAACAATGCAGGTCTATTCAGTGTCCCAGTAGATACCCGTTACACAGTTATAACTTTTCAGCCACCCCTCAAAAACCTGTCATCGTATGCTCCATTTCCTGAAGCTGGGTTTCCACATAAGAATCTGGTAGGCTTTAAGGTCATGTCAACATCTATCAGTGCCCATCTGAAATCCCACCAGCTATCTGTCCTTCTCATTCAGTCTCTTGCCAAATATCATAACATGCACAGGCAACTCTTGCTCTCTGTGTATCACACATATGCACAGGTATACAGAACTTCCTTGTTTCTTTTTCTAATATCTGTTAAGCATTTGCTACTGATGATTTCATAAAATGACTTGCAATAAGCTATTAAGAAACACAGCAGCAGCTGTGAATCACTGCATGCAGATGAATAAAGGATGTATGCAGCTTCCCATAAGTAAAGTGAGTAAAATTTCCTATACAGTAAAAGGAAGTGTGGAAGCTATCAAGTTTTCTGAATGGGGGTAAAGAAAGTGTGTAAACTGGAAAAAAGTCCGTATGTCTTCAGTTGTATCTTAAACTTACTAGGATGCAAGCGTAACAGGCTTTTTTTTTTAAGAAAGAAATGCTCAGAAATGCATTTCTCTTCCTTTTGGGAACACCCATATAGCAGCATTCCTAAGCCTGCAACCTGAAGGCGTTGCAAGCCCCAAGTCCTATGCTCCCAAGGTGCCTACTACCATCACAAGTGTTTCCAACCCAGAACTCACTGCAGAAATAAGTAGAGTCATTTTTTCCCCAAAAGGATTGCAAATGGAAGAGTGACAGACAACAGACAGATTGGGGAGCAAGAACTCTGAACAGGGAAAATATCCCACAAGACAGGAACTCAAAACAGCGCAGCAATGACAACCGTAAAAAACCAATTTATAAATTCTTCCCCTCATGCAAAATATCCCTGCCAAACAAATACCTTCACAAACAGAAAAGGAATAAACATATGACAAGTTTTGCAAAAGGGGTTATCCTGTTGACAGAAAAATTTATGTCTCCTAATTGGTGGCTCCTTTCCAACACCATTCGTCATCTTCTTAGCTGGGCCTGTGTCTAATGAAAATTGAGGCGTTACATAGAGCTGGTCAGAATATTTTTAAGGAAGCCTTTTTAGTTTTTTTAATGTAATAATTTTGCAAAACAGACATATCAGTTTGCCCTTGTGTGATGTCAGAGAAGTTCCAAAGAGGGAGCTGTTTGGAGCAACCAACTATCCGATCGTGTGAAAGCCTCTGGAAGAGGAACACTTCAGTGCTGCAGAAATTCTCAAAGACAACCCTGCCTCCTCCATAACAGCAATAAGGGGGAAGCTTCAAAGGCTGCTACACAGAGATTGAAGCAATCTGTGTCTTGCTGAGAAAATTATCTTGTGAGAAGGGTTTGGAGGAGACGTGTTTATGTCAGCTTTGACATTAAAGGAAGACCATCCATCCTCCTTTCTCCAGACTTTTCCTTTTGGTCTTCCCATTCACCACAGAAAAATTATTTGCTTTGGATGCACTCCATGCACTTTTGAAAAATGAAGTCATCTGAAACCTATATAAACAGGCAAGCTCCTCCTAAAGTAGCCTTTGTACCCAAAGTGACTGAGTAACTTCAGTTTAGGTTGTCAGTTCATGCTACATGTGACACATGTTCCAAAGGCTCCACCACTGACACATATGGTCCCCAAGACAGGGACTAGGAAACAGCCTGTGCCTCCACAGCGTGGACTTTTAACTCTCGGTCGTGCCATCTCTTCTTGAGTGACATGGCAGGCCAGGCACCAGCATTGCTGTGACGAACCAGTAATTCCATGAGGATTGACTGAAAACTGAGCAAGCCCTGCAACAGAAAAGGTCCTGAAGGGCACAGTGAGACACATGGTCACTCTGCTGACCTTGAGGGGAAGACAAGTGAACTGCTCATTTTGTTGATGAGCCAAACTCACCAGGAAAATCAATCCCCCTCTGCTGTCTCATTTCCTCTCTCCTGCGCTGAAGTGGAAAACCCTTTTGATAGTTTGCTAAGCCTTCTCTGGCCGTTTTCTCTACTTCAAAAGCTGCCAGGACAAGCTGTAGAAGCAGTCTCCTTGCCTGCACATCAGGCAACTCCCAGTGACGTAGAAAGCCAGCCAGACCCCTGTGGACTCTTCATATGATCTTTCTGTCTTTGTAAGTGAATGACCCAGCAGTGGCCTCCATTTTGCAAGGCCCAGGCTACTTCTCCTGCTGTCTCACTGGCTGCTGCTCCTCCACTCCTGTCCTGAGCACCTGCCTCCTTCCCGCTGTAAGGCTGCAAAATGCCTGACTCACTCTACATTTCAGACTGCTGTTAGCTGTGCGTTAAAGCTTCAGTCTGCCTTTGAAGGCTATCTGGCTACTTGGAAAGGGTATGCTTCTGCAGGAACGGGGGGGAAGAAGCCCGTTTTGGATCTCTTCTGCTTCTGCTGAGCTGAAACAGTAACCCTTAGCACTGCAGAGACTGAGTGCTGGAGGAGACTCTGCAAATGCTGGTGCCGAGACTCAATCCTCCCCAGGTGATGGCTTTCTGTCGGGTCTAGCTCACCACATCTGACAGGCAGCAGGAGCGGGGCTGCTGTCTTTTGAAGGATGGTAAAACATAACAGCTAGGAAGAAATAGCTGCTGGAGGAAAGGGGCAAAGGGTAATTGCAGGAGACAAGATGGGGGTGAGGGGAGTCTCCCAGCTGAGTGAACAACTTCAAATGACATTTGCACGTTTTTTTGTATGTGTGAACAGCAGCTAAGATTTGTGAATACATTCATCTTTGAATGTAAAGTTTAGTTTGAGGGAGAGTATGACACAATAACAGTCAGCAATTTTTATCACATTACAGACATTTAAAATGGGCTCATTCTTATTTTCACAATCACTTTGCATCACACTGGCAATACGAAAGGTAAGAGTCTGTTGTGTTTGTGCTCACTCTCATGACCCTTTACAAGGGAGTCAGGCTGCTATGTCCTAAGGGCCGGTTTCTGGTATGTTAATAAGCCAGCCACAGAGACGAATAGTTTTTCAGCTATATAGCAAGTATCCTTTCTTGGATCTAAAATACACTAAATAAAGCAATGAAACTTTCTTCCGTCAAGCACTTAAGTGAAAACCATGTGTAAACTGAACACTACTGACAGATCTTTTCCGCTCCATCCTGCATGAGTAATAGAAAGGATCTTATGCTGCTGGGTGTCACACATACTGAGTCATGTCCCATTCTTCCTCATTCTGGGACAGCCCCCAAATACTTTGTAAAAGCTGCACAGCATTTCTAAGATTCACCCCACACCCCCTCACCAAAACGGAATCTTTTGTTTTTCATAATAGTCCCTCTTCTGGCAAAGAGGAGACAGTGGTTCATGCCTCTTTGTCAAAGAATTCTTTCTTCAGAGGAGAGATGGCCTGGTACTGCCCTGGGCAGCAACAGTGAGGAACAGGGAAGAAGAGAAATGTTGGCTCTGGTAACCTATGCTGGATGCTGCTTATGCAGCCCTACACATAGGGTTTCAAATCATTCAAAAAAGGCATCTTCTTTCTCAGTTTCAGACCTCCTACTCTAGGTACCTTGATTGAGTCCGTATTACTAATGAGCCGCCTAAGGCGGGCACCTATACAGGCAGCTGGCACAAGGTGGTATCACGGCAACACAGGCAGCCAGCACACAGCAGTCCCAGACAGCTAACCAAGCAACCAGTTTGTCTCCTTCTTAAACTGAGATGCCAAAGTAGTTCTAATGCCTGAGTAAGGCAGCGGCAGCGAACAGTGTGCCTACAGTCCGGCCCCCCTTGTGCATTCCTGGTAGAGATATGAAACCCCAGCAGGAGCAGATTGTTTCTTTCACGTTAACCCAGGAAGTTCTAAAGCACCTCATCTCGTGGGCTACTCCAGGACTCTTTCTTGGGGCAATGCTGACCTCATGCAAAAAAAGACATTTTGTTCCCATAAACTTTTGGAAAGCAATCCAGCTGTTGATTGATTCATCAGTTTTAGAAGCATCTCAAACCTCCTTCCAGTTTTGGAAGTTTGCACACATTTTGTTGTAGTTAGATCTCCAACTTCCTAATAAATGGATGCAAGCACTTAGACATCTAACTGTTAAAATATGAGTCTATAATTATTTGCAGAAGCAAAACGGCAGGCTGCTCTTGAAAATCAGCCCTGCTAGGCTATTTTTTCCCCTCTCCTGAACTAATACTCCTTTTGACATTTTTTTGAACAGCACAATTGCAATCCCAAAGCTCTGACATTATTCCCACTTCATACACCTGCTGACTGGAGACCTCCACAGTTTTTCAATAACTGTGATGTCTGTAGTTATGTTTTTCATTTTGGATCCCAAAGAGATTAAGTTCAACCTGCATTTTATCATTCTTTGCTGTAATTATTCCAAGCATTTACTTCAGTGAGTTATTTACAGATGGAGAAGTAGGGGGAGACGGAAGATGTTAGAACTACCAAATAGCACCAGATGGAAAAGAGGACCTTGACCTGAAAAATACCTTGTTCCTCTGATGTGCTGTATTTTTAGAATTCTGATTCCCTTTTAACCTAACGCGGATTAATGAAAACCCAAAGGCTTTTTAAGGTAGAGTCTCATCATTTATCTTCACTGAGAAGCTATGTCTGTGTAAAAACATAAAGCGTATAGGATTAAAAAAAAGGTAATAAAGCTTCTGCTTTGAAACTGCTGTAAAGCTGAAGGGCCTTCACTTTCTTCTTTCTCACAGGTTTATTGAAACAGAATCTGAAAGACGCAGGCATCCACAGCTGTAACTTCTCGCATGCAAGTTTAATGTAGAACTACAAAGTGACATATTGCTATTCTGTAGAATGCCTGTGCAGATATAGGGCTTTTTTTGACTAACATCCTGGGTTATTTTTCATAATATCTCCATGATGATGAATGCACAATAAATAATTCTTACTTACAAATATTTTGCCATTAGGTAACACTACTTTCAGTGGAGGTTCATCTAATTTACCCAAATGTAGCTAGAAACAGTATTAGGCACAGAAACATTCTTGTTCAGCAGCAAACGACTTTACATTAGATATGTATTCCGCTAGAAAGAAAACAGTCACTCCTTTCCAGCACTATCCAGACATAAGGAGGACGACATGGTACCATTTTTCAGTAGAACATGCAGAGCATTGGAGTGGTAGCTAGGTTGGGGGGGGAGGGGAGACAAAAACAAAATTAAGCTTAATTTTGGAAGGAAAAGTAAAGAGAGGGCTTATCTCTAACACGCTACCTGTCTCTAACAGCAAGTAGGGCTACCGCAGCAGGCAAATACCACTCTGACAGAACAGTGTGGGAAGGGAATTTTACAAAACAATTGAACTTCTGATAGCAGCTTTTATGAGTCAATAGCCATCTGTTTTTTTCTTTATGTTTCTCACTTGGGAAATAAAAAAGTGAAAGCCATAAATAAAGGTGGTATTTGTTTTCTTCCACTATGGCACTCTGAGCATCAAAACAACTTACTATGAAACAGCATATGCAATCCAGATTTATTTCTTTGTTAGTGGAAGGAGGTTATATTTGTTTAAAATGATTGTTAAGGGAGATCTGAAACTTTGCATCTACAGTTTCACTTAACATCTGAATTTTTCAGAACAAGAGCGTCCCTGATGTCTCTTGAGCAGTGACAGCAAGGGGCCTGCTCTCTTTAGCAATTAATAACTGTATCACAATACCACTATTGCCCTAGCTGCTTCCTTAGTCCTTTCACTGTGCTCTAAAATACTGCTAAATACAAGCCAGCTGTTTTAGAGCCTTCCTCTGTAACACTCCTGACATCTCCAATGTCTGGGCTGCTGCTAAAATCAACAGGTAGGCAGGAGCTGGGATCTTCCTCAAGTCTTCTTGCAAAGATTGAGTTACTAATGGTTTCTTTCTTGGTTCAGGTTCAACAAAACTACTGAACCTAACTCACTTCCTCCCAAAGGATGGGTTTCTCCCCTCATCTGAACAGTGTCTCTTGTTACTTTAAATCATGGCTAATGTTTTTAAAAATATATCTTACACATATATCTTACACATAAGTCAGCTGTAGATCTTCAGCATCAAAGGAACCAAACAGAATCATGTGAAGCAGTGTAACCTTAAGCTATAATTTTAAAATGCCATCAAGAAATGTCTCAAATAGTTTTTAAAATTTACTGTTGACCTAGTAACCTCAGTCCAAAGCATTCAACTCCAAATAAATGTTTTTGTTTTCCTTCCAAACGCAGTATTGGTAAAACAAATGTATATATTGCAAAATATCTTGCAGTCGGTATACCTATGAGTTATCTGTGCAATTCACTAAAATAACTGAAGCTTTCATACAGGATGAGTAAATCAGGATAGCAGTAGAGCTGGCAGGCCTTACAATGGAAGTGATTTGACAAAACTGGAATCCTAATGCAGTGTGTTCACAGAGAAAGTAAAAAAACCCAGCAAATGCAACCTTGTAACAATCAGCATCTGGCACTGAAATGAACAGCAGTCACAGATGAAGTACATATTTGAAAAATTTGTCATGGGGTGTTTCAAGTAATGAACATCCACAATTTGTTTATTGAAATATTTTCCTGTAGTATTGTTATGCGTGTCTGGGAAATAAAGTTTGTAAAGAACAGCCAGAACTCAGTTACACACTAAAACTGAAACTATAGAGGTGGAATTCTAAGAGAATTATTTTTAACTCCAAAAAAAAGCAGCCTGTACTGTCTTCCTTTTGCAGTTATATTCCTTCTACTGAGCCTCCTTCTACAGTGCCTCCAGCACTGAGTGCTCTAGCAGACAAGCACCCTCCTCATTACAGCTGGACAAACAGGCTCTCATTGCAGTTGTAAAGTTAAGAGTTATTACACTGATTAAAACCAAAAAAAGACAAAGGCCCCCTTTCTTCTGTTTATTTTAGATATTGAATGAGATGTCTTGGTGAGGGAACTTGGTCACAAATAACTAAGAAGGGACATAATTTTCTCAGCCGTCAAGGAAAGCTTTTGTCAGGATTTGGGCCAAGACTGGGGCAGTTAGCAGATGGCAATGTCTGCCCAAGGTTGACAGAATAGAGTACTGAACAGCAGGGTGAAGACACAGCCACAAACCACCAGGTCTGCTGCAAGGGCCATTTGGCCATCTTGCCCCAGGACAAGACTCTGCAGGAAGGTGGGGTATGGCTCCTTCTGATGCCACGATGAAGCAGTGGAGAGCAAAACCCTCCTCTTTGTGTCGTATTACAGCTTATCCACTAAGCCGGTCCTCAACATAGATACATTTCCAGAGCAGGATTTTCATCCCAGTGCAGGAACACCTCGTCATGAGCAATAGGCTCGTCAAGCCCTGCAAGGAACCTTGCCATGAAGCCCTCCTTCACCTGGGAAGTGCAGAAGCTACTCACTGCAGCTTCATGCAAAGACTTCTGAAGTACTTCTGCCACCTTGGACCTGGTACCAGGGTAGCTTTACATTGCCTCTGCTTAAGACTTTGTCTCTACAACACACAGATGAACACTGCACTGTCACGCACAAAAGGACGCAACAGCTATAGGCACTGCAGAAAATCCTAAAAGAAGTAAAAAGGAATGATTTGCGGGGTTAGATTGTTTGGAGTTAGTGTTGGTTTGGGGAGGAGATTTAAATCTTTTTAACAACCTCTTATGCAAACAAAAGCAGGTAGGTAATAATGCTGACTAGAAAATAAAGACCTTTCTTCACAGAAAAGCCTGACAAAAACAATATACATGTGCACACACACTCCCACACACTCCTTCTCCTTTAAGTCTTCTGTGGCAAACTTCAGCTGTACTTTGAAAACTTCTGAAAACTGAAACTACTGAAATGGAAAAGTTCATATTTCAGATTATAATGTTCACCTTCTGTTTTGCTTTCTGTTACGGTTTCTAAAGCAAAGCATGTCCTTTCTGCTAAACCCCGTATTTTCTTTCAAGAAAGATTTCAAAGGAAAACTTTTCACAGCCATACTATATAGCCAGTCCAAGGAAAAAAACAGCAAACGGCTTAAAAACAATCTCATGAGGAGCTGTTCTCCTTTAATGCTCTGCTGGGGGAAGCCCAGCTTCCCTCTGGAATCACCCAAAGACTGAGCAAGCGCTAACATGGCTGCTGAGCAGATCAGCTCAGCACAGGTCTCTTACCTGCTCCAGTGCCTGTGCTTTTCCTTACATGATCGCGTCTTTGACTTCTTCTTTTTCTTCTGGATTAGCCTTCTAGTATATTTTTTACTTGAATAAATAATTTAAACAAAACAAATGTACCGTACACAAACTGCTCAAGACATGGAAGTAATTTTCAACCTAAGCATTTGTAATATGGCACAGTACGATGGTAACAATGGAAGTCAATTATACTCACTACATGTTTTTGCAGACAAATAATATTGGTTTACAAACATCCAAATCACTTCAGGGCCCTATTTTCTTTTACACTATTCTAGGTAAAGAAATACGTAAAAAGGAGTAATTGTCTTGGAAAAGAAACCTGACGCAACAAGCAAGAGGAGAAGTAAAGAGAAGATTTAGAGAGAATCGGCAAAAGGAAATGGGCCAATGTGCAGGAGAAAATTGGAGAGAGGCAAGATGGTAGGAGTGGGCATGCAGTCCTCCAATAGATGCACCCAAGTATCTCAAGGAAAACTCTCCCTACTCATGGGGATTTGTCTCCTCTACACAGTCCCCCCCACAGCACTAGGCCAGCCGTAGCTGCAATTCACATCGTCAGCTATGGACACTCTTTGGATACGCTCTTCTGTAACACTGAGGGCTGCTCCATATTTGTGTTTTCCCTGGGCTTTCTCCTCTGGGCCATGCAGATGCCCCACAGCCCTGCCCGGAGCAGACGTCCCGACTCCGCTGCTCAGGCACAGGCCCTCGCACGGTGCCCGTGCTCAGGGTGCCCCGTACCGCTGGGCGCAGCAAGACCGCTGCCCTCGCACAGCAAGCCCGATGGGCAGGCCAGCTGCCAGCTCTGAACGTCCAAAGCGGGCATCTTCCAAATGAAAACCCTGGAGGGAGGAGGGAGAGGAAGAAGAGAAAGGAAGTGCCCGCAGGCCACGGCGTTTGAGGGAGAAGGGGTATGTA